ATTAATTTTACTATATTTTATTAAACTTAGTATATCTGTTAGTTTGGGGCCTACTGATTCTTTGATAGTTATCTTAAATGCCAAGATAGAGAAGTATTCTGTAATTACTAATATAATTGCACTCATCCTCTTGTCCTCACCATCACTCTTTTAAAAAAAATTAAACATTTTTATTAGTGTGTATTAGTTGTACCAGGAGGGTTGCATTGTGACATTTTCATATATGCTTACTATGTACCTTGATTAGACTCACCCCCCATCATTCCCTCTCATTCCCTTCCCCCCTTCTTAAAATAATTACAACCTGAATTGTTTTATTTTGTATACAAGTATATAAAGTACATTGACTATATTCACTCTACTTCACTCTCTATTGTTTACCCTCCCACTAGTATCCACCCCAAACAGGACCTGTTTTGCATTCTTGTCCTTCATTTTTAAAAGCGTATACTGATTGTTCGAAAGGGGTTTCACTGTGGTATTTCACACATGCATATATTGTATTTCAATTGGATTAACCCCCTTTCTCTTTCCCTATCTCCCACCAGTTTTCAGTGAGTTCAGTTATATCGTCTTCATACATATGATGTATATTGATATTATTCATGTTGTCATTTTTTCCTCTCTCCCCTCCCCCAATCCCTTCAAACAGTCCAACTATTACAAATGTGTTTATATATACATATGTAAATATATACATATTTATACAGTCATGTATGTATTTATGTATATGTTTATCTTTTTGTTTAGCATCCACACATTAATGAAAACATGTGACCTTTGTCCTTCTGAACCTTGTTTACTTCACTTACCACAATGGTCTCCAGTTCTATCCATTTACCTGTATACAACATAATTTCATTCTTCTTTATAGCAAAGTAATACTTATCTGTGTATATATGCTACATTTTCCCAGTCTGTTCATCAGTTGTAGGGCATCTGGGTTGTTTCCATAGTTTGGCTATTGTGAATAGTGATGCAGTAAACATGAGTGTGTAAGTGTTTCCAGTGTACTTTTCTCCTGGATCTTTTAGTATCCTTTTTTTGTTCTGTAATCTTGGTCTTTTAGTTATGATGTGATGTGGAGTTGTTCTTTTCTGGTCATGTCTACTTAGAATTTGAAATGCCTCCTTTACATGGATGTATAGTAGGTTTGATATTTTGATTGTGTTCCAGAGTTCTTGTATGTTATACTTGTAAGTATTCATTTTTTTCTTTGTTATTATCTGAGTACAATATTTCCTCAATCTTGTCCTGCATCTCTGATAGCTTTTCTTCTATTTCATCTTGTCTGCTGATAATGCTATCCACAGTGGTTTTAATTTAATTTATTGAGGTTTTCATTTCTAACATTTCTATGTGATTTTTCCTCCCTAATTTACATTTCCTTGCTGAATTTCTCATCCCTGTTGCTGACTTTCTTGTCTAGCTCTTGAATTGGTTTCCTAACTTCATTTATCTGTTTGTGTTTGAGATCACAGTAGGCCTCAGAATTCTCTGACATTTCAGTCAATTCATTATCTTTTGGATTTAGTTATTGAGTTGTGAAATTTTGGAGGGGTGGCAGTGCCTTTCCTTTTCATACTTAAATTTCTATGCTGTGATTTCTACATCTGTTGGGATATGTTTCTCTGTTACTTCCTTGTATCTGTGGGAGAACATATTATAGTATTGAGGTCAACAACTCAACAATAAATCAAATATTTGACTAAATAAGAAAAAATTGAATCCCTTATCTGCCTCCCCAATAAGGTTATGTAGGAACAAAACTCTGGTTCCTTAGCGGTGGTTGAACATATAAGAATCAGAAATTGAGTAATATAAGGAATGGGGGTGGGAAGTAGGGAGAATATCATTGAAATTTTTTAATGGTAGTATGGCTGTTTTCACTATATTACTTCTGCTAATCTATGAACATGAGTGGTCTCTCCAGCTCCTAGAGTATTCGATAATTTTGTTCTTTTGTGTTTTATAGTTTTTGTGGTAGCAGTCTTTAACATCTTTGGAGTTAGACCTAGCTGGGTTTTGGTTTTTTTTTTTTTTTTTTTGAGACTTTTATGAATAGGATTGTTTCCTGATTCATTTTTCAGTGAGTTTGTTATTGGTGCATAGAGAAGCTACTGATTTTTGTAGTTGACTTTGTATTTACTGGTACTTTGCTGAAAACACTTATCAGATCTGAGTCTCATGGATGGCTTTTAGAGTCTTTTGAGAATAAGATTATATCATTGGTAAATGGGGATAGTTTGATTTCTTCCTATCCTGTTTGCACCCCTTTTATTTATTTCTTTTACCTTACTTCTCTGGCTAATATGTCAAGCACTATACTGACTAAGAATGGTGAGAGTGGCAACCTTGTCTCATTCCTGATTTTAGAGGAAATTTATTCTTTCTCAAGCTCTTGTATTTGTTACTGTCTTTTTTTCTTCATCTTTATATTCCTTTAAGTGTGCTTTGCATTGCTGGCTTAGTGGTCAGAAATTGCATTTGTTTGTGCTTATCTTGGAAGGTTTTTATTTCTCCATCAATTTTAAAGGAAAACTTTGCTGGGTATAGTAATCTTGCTTGGCAATTATTTACTCTCAGGGCTTGAAATGCACCATTCTGTGTTTTCCCTACTTCTAGGACTTCTGCTGAGAAGTCTAATGAAATTCTGATGAGTTTGCCTTTCTAAGAAGCTTGACACTCTTCTCTTACAACTTTCAATATTCTTTCTTTGTTCTGTAATCTTGCATTGCTGTCAACTGGAGAGGTTCTTTTTTGATCATACCTATTTGGGATTACAAATATCTCCTGTACTTGTATGTCTGTATCTTTCCCTAGATTTGGGAAATTTTCTGCTGTAATTTTGTTGAATATATTTCTTTAATTTCTGTCTCATCCCCTTCTTTTACCTCATAGACCAATCTTAGGTTTGGGCTCTTAATCATGTTCCAGAGTTCTTGAAAGTTGTGGTTATAATTGCTTATTATTGTTTTATTTATTGCTATCTTAATTCCTCAACCTTGTGTTTAATCCCTAATATTCTTTCTTCTTCATGATCTAGAATATTGATGATACTTTCCATTAAGTTTTAAAATTTTATTTATTGAGCTTTTCATTTCCAGGATTTTCCTTCAGTTTTTTTTTAAGTCTTCATCTCTGCTAAGATTCTCATCCATGTTAGTGACTTTCTTGTCCAAGTTTTAAATTGACTTCCTTACTCCATTCATCTGTTTATTTCAGTCCTCTTTGAGATTACTGACCAGTTTTAAAACTAGACTTTTGGGGCTGGTTGGGTGGCTCAAGTGGTAGAGCACCTGCCTAGCAAGCATGAGGCCCTGACTTCAAACTCTAGGACTGTCAAACAATAATGATAATAATAATAAAACTAGACTTTTGAATTGTTTTCTAGTGTGTCAACTATTTCAATATTTGAGATCAGTTTTTTGCTGTGTTATTGACTTATGGAGGAAACATACTGCTTTCCTTTGTCATAACTTCTTGTGCTATTATTTGGCTTGTACATCTGTTGGGATGGATTCATCTTTCACTTTTATTTGTGAGTTTTCTTAGCACTCACTGTTCTTTTGAGGCCTCAATCTGATAAGAAAAAGCAGACTACAGTAATAACAATTAAAAAACAAATTAGATATTTAAATGTAGTAAAAGTCAATTGGAAATACCACTAGCACCCTCAATAAAGATAGTAAATAAAGGAGCTCAAGCACTTACATAATAAAGTAGAAATTTATAAATTATTTAAGGTAAAAGTATTACTGATTAATAAAAATGAGGGAGATTAGGAAATTAAAAAAAAGAAGCAAGATAGGAGAGAAGTAAAGAAATGAAACAAAAGAAAAAAGTAAAGAAAACTCCAAAGAATCTATAAAACACATTTTTGGTGTTATTAGGTCAATTTAGCAAGATCACAGGTACAAGATGAACATGTAAGAATTAATTGTATTTCTATATTTTAGGAATGAAGACATGAAAACCAAAATTTAAAAATATATTCAGTAAAAAATGAATTGCTTATATAAATTTGACAAACTATACTAGATTTGCATTGTAAACACCATAAAACATTGATTAAAGAAATCACAGAGCTAAATAAATATAGAAAGGCATCTAATACTCATGTAGTAGAAGATTCAAAACAGGTGACATTGATTTTCTCACAAATTGTCAAATTAGTTCAATACAACTCTTAAAAACTTTAGCAATTTTATAGATGTAAGCAATTCTAAAACTTACATAAAAGGAAAAGAAAAATAACTTAAAGTTTTTGGACAAAAAAAGATCTGGTAGGAGTTATTCTACTATTTCAAGACTCATATAAGTACAGTATTTCTAATTACTGGTAGGAACAGTAATAATAGCCTTTGACTCATTTGACGTAGTGCCACGTCATACATTGCTTTTAAATCAACTTTCTCTACTTAATTCACATTTTTGCATTTTAAATAAAGTATTGTAAGGCCTTGTTTATTTGTCTATTCAACTTATTTTCCACATTGATTCCATCATTTCAATACTTACAGTGAGTCGTGCTAGTATCAGTTTCATATTTCTATATCTTCAATATGTAGACATCAAACATACCTATTTTTTTTAAATAATCTCTTTTCTGGAAGTCTAGTAATACCAAAAGAATGAACTTCATCTTAAAATTGATCCTTAGTGAACTCTGTATTTTTTTTATTGATTATTACTTGTAAAGGCCAAACCTGTTTTTAAGGTATTTTCCCTGTATTCCACCCAGTAATCATATACTGTAGTTTGCTTTGTTCTTCTGGATTTGAAATCATGCTTGTCCATGTTTGTGGAAAATATATTTCTGTTTGCTAGTTGTAATTATTACATTTATAGCTCTTAAATTTTGGTCAAAATAGTTTTACACTAGAGGTCTTGAAATTTTTTCTAGCTATGTCTCCTTGCTAGTTAAATATTTTTATTATTCTGTTTTACTGCTATAAATAACCATCCGCATTATTGCTAGTTATTGGGTTTTTTCTGTTTACTTCCAGCTGGTTGGTGGAGAATTTGATTTGGAGATGAACTTTATTATCCAGGATGCTGAGAGTATAACATGCATGACAGAGCTTTTGGAGCACTGTGATATAACATGTCAAGCAGAAATATGGAGCATGTTTACAGCCATTCTGCGAAAAAGTGTTCGGAATTTACAGACTAGCACAGAAGTTGGGCTAATTGAACAAGTATTGCTGAAAATGAGTGCTGTAGATGACATGATAGCAGGTATGGGGTATCTGATAGGAAAGCATTTATATACTTATAAAGTTTCATGTACTTTGTTTTATATTTTATACATAATATAGATTTGTTGAAACTGCCTTGAATTAAAATAGATACAGAGAAATATATGGAGAATTTGTCCTTTATATTAATGGAAAACCTGGAGAATGAAAGAAGACAAACAGAATTACTATATTAACCAAACACAATACTATTTTGGTTTTCTAAGTTTTAGAAAATTCAGTACTGTAGAGTAGATCCTTTGAAATCCATCAGAAAAATAAATACTACTTTTATGTAGTATATAGTTAAATCCTCACATGCTGAAAATACCACAACACATTTTTTCAGTTCTGTGTTATGAGTGAACCCTTTATCAAATTATCCCAGCTTCATGGTGCTCAATCTGTCACCATGTGACATATCACATGACAGGAGGAACTAAAAGCAGGCTGTATTGTTTGGAAGTGTTTATTTTACTTTGGGTTTTTTGGGGACACTTCTGTGTTAAAATGAACATGTATTGTGGAATAGAGCATAAAATTTACATAACATTTTGAATAAAAATATTAATTTTTCCTTATTATCGCTTATTTCAAACAATAAGTTTTGCATTTTAGTAGAAGTTTTTTGTCCCAGAGTAGTAGTTAATCCTGGAAAATACATTTTTTATCTTAAGGATATTGTATGTGATTTTTAAAAAATAGTCAGATTAGCATTTTTGGAATTATGAAACATTTTTATTCCAGAAGATACTTAGACTGAAGATCCATGGTTTACCAAAATAAACATTTCAAATTCTAAACTTTTTTCTGATAAACCACAGATTTTTTCCTTTCTTAATGAGTATATTAAGATCATTTCTAGTTGCTTTCAAAGTGGAATGTAGCCTTATAGCAAATGCTTCCTTACTCTGTATGTTAGATACTAATGGCTAACTTTTTGAAGAAAAAGAAGTAGACTTTTATTTCTAAAAATGTCTTTTTAATGTATATGGTACTGGTACTATTATAAATTCTAGACTTATTTAACAGGAATTTGTTTGCATAAATGTGTATGTAAGAGTGTATGTAGAACACCATATGACCTTTCAATCCTTATACCTGGGCCTAAGCTGTTAAGTTTTATTTTCCCCAATAAATAAAGTGGCTGCCACTTTACAGAATACAGATTAGAGAAGGATTCATAATTACATAAGTTGCAGTTTATTATAATTTAATTCATGAGCATTGGAATGTAAAGACAGTGAGGCGGATAGTACCACAAAAATTGTTATTTTGACATTTTCTGTTATATAAAGTTCTTTAATTCTCTTATCCTTTCTTTTCATTTATTTTGTGATAGCACAAAATTTTTACTTTTTATTATTTTAAGTATTTCATTCACAAAGAGCCTGATAGTGAAAGGATATGAGAAAAGGAAAAGAGAATCAGAAAAAAAATCTGTACCTTACTTATTTTTAGGAGACAATTTAAAATTTGGATATCATACTAAGGAAGTTTTATTAGCTACCAAACACTGCTAGATTTTCATCTCTGATGTAAACTTAACTACTAAAAGGTGATTAAACATTTATAGTTAATTGCTAATAGAATTTCATAGTTGTAGTATAAAATATTACAACTAAAATCTTGTCTAGAAAAGACTTAATATACTAAAATTAAATTGAGCTGTTTGGTTATGTTTTCATGAATAATAAATATATAAGGAATTAAAAAATTATAATTGCATGTAAATTTAATAGATCACTTTTTTGTGTCATACATCCTGTATATTGCAAATAGAAAATTTTTTTACAAAGTCTTTATGTAAACCTTTAAATAATCTTGATGATGGTTATCATTTCAACTAGTTTGCTTAAAAATGGAGCATGTTAGTCTAGTGTTTTTAAGGTTCTGGATTTTTGTCTAGAATTCATTCTTAGAAATGGACATTTTGGTTTGTATGTACTAATATTTTCATACAATTTTGTTACTTAAATGATGAAACATTTTGTTTCATTAAAAGATCTCTCATGGAAAATTGGCATAGCCATTGTCATAATTTTATCAGAGAGATTGCTTGCTTCTTATGGCATCAAGTAAGAATCAGTTACTGACTTATTGATGAAAATAATCATATTCAATTTCTATTTTGAAATATACAATAAATATTTTCATTTCTCAAATTGTAGTTATTGATTTATAATATTGGATAATATAAATTATTTAACAGTAATTATTTCAATTTATCCTTATCTAACCTTTTGTTAAATAATAACCTTAAGAATATATTTGTCTTTTGGTTTGCATTAACGTTTGTAGTATGTTTAATTCTTAGCAAGTGCTTTAGATGTTTAATCTTCCAAAGAGCCAAAGAATATTACAAAGAAATATTAATCACAATGTGTATAGAAAGTAGCCAGGGACAAGAGATTAAGATAATTTTGAGTATTGTTTGCTCAGCTGGTTTGACTGTTATGTGTACATAAATACTACTATTAGTATAATGGATACCCTAGTATTGTGTTTAAATCACACTTCTACTTATAAACTAAGAGGTAAGAGTGAAGGTTCTGTAGTCATATTGCCTGGATTTGAATGCTGACTCTACCACTTGCTGTGTTTGTGTTCTTAGGCAGTGAGGTTAAGTTATTATATGCCACAATTTACTTATTTTTAAAAGGGGATAATAATTATACTTAGCTCATAGGCTTGTTACAAGAATTTGTGATCTTAATACATATAAACCACTTATAATAATGCACAATATATTAATAAATAATTTTGAATAAATATTCAAAATTGCTCATAGCCCAAGGAATATTTCAAGAGCACATTTTATTAAAAAACAGATAATTCTAGTAGAAAATATGGTCAAATACCAATTTTTTATTTGGAAATAACCAATTTGCAATGTTATATATTTGTCCTTTTACATGTTTTTATTTCTCTTTGTCTGCAGATCCACGTGTGTAAATTGTTAGAGTCGCTATTCATGATGTTATTAATCTATGTTATATATATATATGTATGTATATATAATTGACAGTTGATAACCTTGACTCTTTCAAAAACATATATTACCTTGACAGATTGCAGCTCATGACTAGAGTAGAGAATAACTTTGTTTTCCTTTGAAGATCTTCTAGTTGATATGTTGGGGGTTCTTGCCAGCTACAGCATCACTGTCAAGGAATTGAAACTTCTGTTCAGCATGCTTTCGAGGAGAAAGTGGAATCTGGGTAAGCTGTGGTCAGAGGGAGAAGTATTCAATTTCAGTCCATTCGTACTTTGTGTTCAACAATTTGTCCTGAGAGAACTGTACATTTGAATTGATAATGGGAATTGTTTTCTTCTTAACCAGATTAGTAAATAATTTATGATTAATTTTTTCTCTAGTTAGAAAAGAGTCCAGTGACTAAAGAGGAGGTATATTATGTATTATTGCTAAATTTATACAATGACTTTTTTTTCTTTTATTGCTTTCTCAGCCAAGACATGCAGTAAAATTGTTGTCAGTTCTTAATCAGATGCCACAAAGACATGGTCCTGATACTTTTTTCAATTTCCCTGGTTGTAGTGCTGCGGTAAGTTTTAATTACATGTGTTTAATTTTTATATATCATTAAGTTACCTAGCTCCTTTCCCTTGCCACCTCTGATTTATTTTGTGTTCCTAAAGTTTTGCCTTTTCTAGTTTATCACATGAATGAAATCATGCAGCACACAGGGTTTGTTCTGTGTCAAGGTCTCACTATATAGCAGTCTGGCCATCTTTCTGCCTCCTCAGTGCTAAGATTATTAATGTGTACCATCAGATCCAGCTTAGTTTTTATGTTTGGCTTCTTTTACTTACAATAATACTTTTGAGATTGCCCATGTTAGAGCTTTTATCAGTACTTTTTTTATGTATCTCTTTATTTTGAATAGTATTAACTTTTATTGATATATCATAGTTTATTCATTCATCCTCTAATTGGTAGACATTTGGGTTTCTAGTTTTCAGTGATTGTGAATAAATCTGCAATAAATATATAATGCACAGGTCTTCCTGTGGGCATATGTTTTCTTATCTTTTGGTAAATACTTGAATGAGATTGCTAAGTTTTTTGGTAAGTATATGTTTACCCTCGTGAGAAACTGTCAGAGCATTGTCCACAGTGTAAAATTTTACATTTTCATCAGCAACATGAGAGTCTCAGTTGATTTGTGTCCTAGACATTATTAGTCTTTTTAATTTGAGGCATTTTAATGGTTGTGGAATGGTTTCTCATTTTAGTTTTATTTTTGTATTTTTCTAGTGAATATTATGTTAATTATTTTCATGTGATACGAAGCAAAGTTGGAATTAAGTTTTATTTGTTTGCAATATCTATTTGCTTTGTAATTATTTGGTGAAGAGATAATCCCTTTCATTTGGAATTACTTGACACCTTTCTTGAAAATTAATTGAGTATAGTTTGATGGATCTATTTCTGAACTCTCTAGTTTGTACTCTTGCCCTAGAAATCAATTCTTATGCCAGTGTCACATTTTCTTTATTATTATGGCTGTGTAGTTAGTCCTTCTTAAAGTCAGGTAGTATAAATACTCCACCTTTGTTCTTCATGTTTAAAATACTTTTGACTTTTCTAGAATATTTGCATTTCTGTGTACATTGCTGAATAAATTTGTTAAATTTCATTAAAATCCTGCAGTGTAGGCTGGGCACTGTGGCTCACCGCTGTAATCTTAGCTACTTGGGAGGCAGAGACCAGGAAGATCACAATTTGAGGCCTGACCAAGAAAAAAGCTTGCTGTACCACATTTCAGCCAATAAAAACTGGCCATGGTGGCACACGCCTGTTATCCAGCTACACAGCCCTTCCATAACTAGAAGTAGCATGGTCCAGGCTGTGCCAGTCATAAACATGAGACCCTATCTCAAAATAACCAAAGCAAAATTGGGTTGGGGGTGTGGCTCAAGCAGTAGAGTGCCTGTTTATCAAATGTAAGGCCCTTGAGTCCAAACCATAGTGCCATCAACTAAAAAAAAAATACTGTTGTAGTTTTCATTGTGGTATATTAAGTGTACAGAACAATTTGGAGAGAATATATTATCTTAATGTTATTGAATACTATTTTTCCCTTTAGTTTTCTTTGGGTTTTCAATTTTTTTTAGCTTCAACATAAAACTTGAAGGGTAGATTATCTTAATTTGTTTCCTCTATTTCTTTGTTAATGCACTATTTTATTTTTAATTTAATCCTAGCTTAGTAGGATGAAACTGTTAATGCATTTTCAAGGCAACTGGTTGTGGGTAATGAATTGAATGGGAATTTAGATCAATGGGGGAAAGAGGATGCTTTTGAATACCCTAGTGATACTGCTGTAACCATCTACTTTTGTGATGCAAAAGGGTCATTGGTTTTGCTGTTCCTGGCAAAAGGTTAAAAACTACAAATCTTTTTTTTTTGAGGGGGGTGGGCAGTACCGAAGTTTGAACTTAAAACTTGCTAGGCAGGTGCTCTACTGCTGGAGCCACACTTCCAGCCATTTTTGCTCTGGTTACTTTGGAGATGGGGGTTTTGCTTCTTGCCAGGCTGGCTTGGACTGCAATCCTATTATTGCTTCTCAATGTAGGTGGGATGACAGGTGCACCACACACAGTTTTTTTTCTGTTGAGATGGGATCTCACATACTTTTTTGCCCAAGCTGGCCTGGATCCACAATCCTCCCCATCTCAATCTCCCAGGTGGTTAGGATTACAGTATCTTACATGTACAGACGTTAGCATATATGTTAGGTGACATATATGATTCCATACATTCATTTTGTTACTCAGTGTCCTCAGTATTTCTCCTGTTCCTCTTAGTGCTCAGTCCAGCTAAATACATTCTGCTTTACAGAAACTTATGGAGGTATTAACTAGTGTTAAACTGAGCAAGAAAAAAAAAAAGCATTTTGCTAGTTAGCAAAATACTAAAGTAAAATATTTTTCTTTTTAACGAGTCAAGAAAAGCTGTGTTTATTTTTGACAATAAAGCTGCCTGAACCAATTGCTGAAACAATATCTGAAAGGACATTGAATGGGCAATATTCATTTGTAGAGTTTGTTTATTTGAAATTACATACTGTATTTATTTTTTAAAACAGCAGAGGGGTTGGGGATTTAGCTCAGTGGAAGAGCGCTTGCCTGGCAAGTGCAAGGCCCTGAGTTTGAGTCCCCAGCACCGGAAAAAAAAAAAAGGAAAATTAGAAAAAAAAAAAAGCAAAACAAAAAAAGACAAAAAAAACAAAAAAACAGCAGATACTTACAAATCTTTGGCTACTTTGAGATTACTTATTGACCAGGTACTCTGTTCTATACCTTCAAATTATCAGGCTGGAAATGTAGATAATACTCATTTCTTTTGAAGAACTGTAATGAATAGATTAAAAAAAATTCCCTTGCTCTAATAAGAAGGCATAAGTGCTTATGTAGATTTAGGTACTAAGAATTGTGGGAAAACAATGAAAAGAGAAATCATGCTAGATTGAAGTTCAGGAAAGCTTGACAGATGAGGGCATTTTAGCTCGGTATTGGAGAATGATTGAGGTTTTTGTGGAAGGAGGTTGTTTTGGATAGAAGCAACATCATGTACAAAAAGGGGAGCTGTGAAATAACAAATGGAACAGGTGGTATATTTCACTGTACTTTGGAGTTTGGGGTAAGGTATTAGAAGAGCATAAAACTGAATTTGTTTGTTGGAGCTGTAGTGTGTATAAAGAAACTTATAGAACCTGAAGAAATTTAAAGTTTATACTATATGCAGAAGATTTGGGGATTTTTGGTGGTACTGGGGTTTAAATTCAGGGCCTTATGCTTGTTAGGTAGGTCATCTACCACTTGAGTTACTCTCCAGCCCTGCAGAGATTTTTTATTGTGTAAGCTACTTGCTATATTTTGTAAAGGTCATTATTAATGATATGAAGGATGTGTTTGGAGAAGAGGTCAATTATAAAGTCACAGTGGCAGAACCAGGCATGGTGGCTCAGACCTATAATCAAAGCTACTCTGGAGGCAGTGACTGTGAGGGTAGCAGTTCCAGGTCAGCCTGGGCAAAAAGTTCATGAGACCCATCTCAACCAATGCCTTTATGTGGTGGTGTGTACCTGTCATCCCAGCTATGTGCAGAAGCACAAAAAAAAAAATAAATAAAAAATAAAGTCACAGTGGGTATCTTTTATGTGAAGGAATTTAAATATTTTCTAGGAAAATAAGTCAAGCAAGTCAAGTAATCATTTTTCTCATTCCTTAGAATGGCTAGATTTCATTTTGTTATTATAAGTTAAGTCCTATATTATTGCTTTTTTTTTTTACCTGTAGATGGATCTCAATACTTTTTTTGTCCATAAATTTAAATGATTAAATTTCTGAATAACAAATCTCATGCTTTCCCCTCATTGTTTCAGGGTTATGAGCAAGTGTTATCAATAACACTTCTATTTCAGTACTGATACCATTAACATTTTCTAGCATAGTTGTTTTGGGCTGCAAAGATTCAACCTGCTTTAATAAAATTAAGTATTTTATTAAATATAAACTGAAAATTCTGAGGCATATGTATAAGGGATAATGTATTGGTGAGGTTGGAGGGGGAGGTTTTTGTCTTCTTTTTCTTTTCTCTCTGCCCCTGGAGGGGAAGTTTCAAAGAACAGTCTGCAACTCGCTGTAATGTAGAAATGAAATTTAATTCACTATTTGAAAGTGTAATATTGGTATAGTCAACAAACAGTATATAATAGATTATCAAGTAAGATAATTGGTTCTGTTTTCTATAGTTGTTCATGATTTTCTGATTTTTTTTTTTAATCTATGAAGGCCAGGTTTTGCCTTAGTGACATCATGTTTTCTTTAGCTGATACTTTACCTTTTCTCGTTGCCTTGTAGGCAATTGCATTGCCTCCTATTGCAAAGTGGCCTTATCAGAATGGCTTCACCCTGAACACTTGGTTTCGCATGGATCCATTAAATAACATTAACGTTGATAAGGATAAACCTTATCTTTATTGGTGAGTAATATGCTTTACTTTGGGACTTTTTCCTTTAAGTAATTAAATTTTGTAGTTATATAATATGGTATTAAGTTTATATTAGAGTATGTATATATACATAGATATATACATATAGTTAAAACTATATAAACATTCAGATAAATAAATGTTACTTATTTATTCATTTTACTATTATGTTAGGTGATTTTTCTTAACTTTTCTTTCCCATATACAGTTCAAGACTCAAGGGTTTTAGACCTTCCTGCCTGTCAGTTCTGGGGGTGCTTCACATTGCTGGTGCCTCATCTGGGAGAGAAAAGAAACCAGATTCCCACTAGATATTATTTGCTTTGACTTTTCACTTATTTTGTTCTAAAAACATAATCGATACATTACTTAAAAACAATAACCATGTGAGAAATTATAATCAAATAAGTCACGTTTCTTATTTTGATTAAAATATACTTTGTTGATAGGCTATATTACTTATCAAAAATGGCTTTTTTAATTTGTAAACTATTTTCTAAGGCATATCAGAATTAGAGAGCAAGTTGTTATTGAAAATATGATCTGAATATAAATGAGTTTTTGTTTACTAATTGAAGATGGTCCTTAAAGGTAGATGAAGTTTACTTGGTAGACTTTGTTGACTATTAGTTTTTATGTACTCTGACATTTTATTTATTTATTTATTTATTTATTTAATTTTTTTCATTTATTCACATGTGCATACATTGTTTGGGTCATTTCTCCACCCTGCCCCCTCTCCCCCACCCATACTCTGACATTTTAAATTGAAATATTAAAAGCTTCAGTAGTCCTTTAGTTCCTAGATTGAATTCCTTGTGTTTTAGTTACTATAACTCTTTTATGTTTTAGTTTTTATTTGACCCATGCTAAACTTCTACTCTACAGGAAATTAAGTTTTATTTTTATATAAAGTAATATTTAATGGGTGTTAGGTATATGTTTCTTTTTATCTGGTTATTATATTATTCTCATATTCATTGCAGTTTTCGTACTAGCAAAGGAGTTGGCTATTCTGCTCATTTTGTTGGCAATTGCCTAATAGTCACATCACTGAAGTCCAAAGGAAAAGGTTTTCAGCATTGTGTGAAATACGATTTTCAACCTCGTAAGGTAGGCAAAAGTAAATACTTAATTGAGTCTTAATATAAGTCACCATTTTCTTTGTTAACAAAATTTACCTACTGTGACTTCTATAATACTCTCTTTCACTGGTTTTCCTATGATTCTTAATGCTTTTCTCATATTCTTATCTGTAATCCCTTTTTACTTTTATGTTTGACATTTATTGTTTATAAGATCAGTCTTTTGAACTCTGTATTGCATCTCTCTCAGATTCTTTCATTCTCTCTCATTCTAGTCAGTTCTATAACATTCTTTCAGTAAATACTCACTGAATATTTGTTGAGTACCAGACACCCTTGTAGCACTTGGGATATATATGACAGTGAACAAAACAGAAAACATCTCTGTTTTCATAACATTTACATTTTATTAGGGATTTTTATTCTATTCTCATTCTTATATTCTTAGCTACTATGAGATGTTGCCTTATAGAGGACTTTTTGGTCCTTGAACCTCAGAATATATATTACTATCTCCAGTCCCCATATCCATTCATGTTCTGAAGTCTTCTGATTAAGAGGTCTACCGTCTTCATAATAATTGGGACTTATATTAGCTTTGCTCTTTACTCCATTTGATCATTGTATTACATAACTTTTGAGTCCCACATATTGTATCACAGAAATATATCTATGTTCTGTTAACATTTCCTTACCTGCTGATTTAATTATTCATATTACTGTCTCTTCATCTTGGATGAAGATGAATCATCTTTTCCTCTATATTATTTTGCATACTAATATTGAACTCATTTTTCTGATCATATTCTATTGCTCAAACTAAATGTTTACTTATCACTAACTACAGAATAAATTAAAAGTTTTAGTCAAGTAGTTTATGACTTGTATGTTCTATTTTTATTTTTACCTTTCCCTTTTTCAATTTGTATAAAATGCCTGCCATGAATCTTTGTACTTGTTTCCGTCCTCTACAGCTGTTGATGTTCATATTCCATCATATTTGTATGTCTCATTTCATGTAACATTTCCATGGAATCCTTTCTTGATCTGTATTGTTATCGTATATAATTAATCCTCTCTCTCAAATACCTGGTAGAGAGCATTGAGCTTGTTAGACTGCAAATAGTATATATTATATAGATGTATAAAATATAACTTTAACAATAAAAATCCCTTTTGCTTTTCTAGAAGTAATAACATTTATCTGGAACAGTTATTTCTCAGTAGAATGAGATTAATAGGGTCTTAGCTATTAATAAAGTGAAGGAAGGAGGCCTGAGCTTTACTATAGTCAGTGCTTTTTTGCTAGGGAAAGATAGTAAGAACCTTTTCCACATAGCAAAAAGAAGGAGAGTAGTCAGGGCAATAAAGACCAAATGATTTAGGTTGTAGCCTTTTTTTCCTGGTACAATAATGTATATTGCAAATAAGTTGATTTTTGGTATTATAATAGAAGATTAGAGTATTACCCATGAATATTAAAAGAGATCATATACTTTTTGAGAAAGTGTTTTGCATAGGTTTGATAGGGAATATAGTTACTTAGAATGTCAAGAGCTGATAGATTCTTTTATATCTTCATTCTGATCCTAAAGTTTTGATACATAGTATATATAATTTATCCATAATATAATTGTATTTTAAATTGTATAATTTATAAGTTTGATATATATTATATAGAAATTTTAGTGTCTTTCACTTGTACCTGTTAAAATAATAGAAAAATATTTTAGCAATTACATATTCAAAGTTTTTTAAAGGTAAACTTTTTATGTGAGCTACTTGTATTACTTTGATTACAGTTCAAAAATTCTAATGAACATTTGAAGAAATACTAATTTTATTATAGTTTTTTCTTGCCCTGCTTTCCTTATGCCTTCTCTGCCACCATTCTTTTCTTTTCTTTACCTTTCTTCTCCTCTTGTCCATTTTTCCATCTTTTTTTCTTCCTCTTTTCTTCTCCTTCCTCCCTTTTCTTATGCTTCTCCCCCATCTTCTTTTCCTAAAGAGAACTACTTAGATCATAGTGCCTCTCTCTTCCCTTTCCACACGTTTCTCTCTCTCTTTCTCTGATGTGGATTTATAAATAATTAACTCTTTTATATAAATTAAAATTAAAATTGGGAGAGATTAATCTAATCCTAGTAGTTCTGAATCTTGTTTCCCAAGATTTAAGGTTTTGCCAATTTCTGCTGCTTCAATAATCATGGCTTTAAGGAGACTAATGTTACTCTACTGTTAATGTTTTATCCCATGAAATAGGTCCTTATTTAATATCCAATTAAGGATACTTAATATTACTTTTACTTAATATTTATTTTGGTTGAGGATAGGTTGAAACATAGTTCAAAACCTTCTACAAAGCTGTTGTAAAACTGAATGTTAAAAGAAAAAAGCAAAGAAATGTGTTTTAATTATATATATAAGACATAATTCACCATCACCTGGGGTTTTTAGAAAGATGTTTCTGCCTATTTACCAGACTGCATCTTTGTGTCAGCGTAGCCAACCACCTGAAAGTTCAAATGAAAACAGAAATATGGGAATTCCTCTTTCCACATGTCTAAGGACTGGTCACCCATCTAGGTTAAGCTTTGGTTTTGGATATATGATGTGTGATTGACAACCTTTATCAGAGATGTTTACCTTCTACTCATGGACATATTGCCTTACCTTTGTGATCAATAAAAGAACCATAATAGATGCAATGATCCAGCGTGGTAGGAGGAATGTCTTTCTTTTTCTTTTTTGTTTTGTGAAATCCCTTGTACATTGTCACATAGTGAAAAATTATTTTCCATGGTATTCTCAAATATTTTAGAAAGTTTACATGATGCTAACAAAAATCTTTGCTTCATATTTAAGGAATACTAACTCCTTTCTATTAGAGAATATCAATTTAATAATCAGTCATTAATACATACTCAGAAAATTATTTAAAAACAGTGATTCTGAATAAATATATCTGTTCATTAGAAGAGTGGGTTTTTTATGTGGGGGAAGTAGAGTTCAAATATCAATTATTATCATACAAATGTGACTGCCTGTTTTCCAGGGATTGATTTATTATATAATTGAGGTGAGATGCAAATAGAGTTTGCTAAATGTGCCAAAATTATTTTGAATTTTAGTAGAGCTCATTATAGATAGAGATTCTTAGATTTATTTTCATGTTAGGAATGTGTATTCTTAACAAGTGTTCACAAATGTTATGGATAATTGATCTCATTTGTAAAGCTTAAGAAAGAGTAGCTTAAAGTGCATAAAGAATTAGAATTTAAAAACCAAATGAAATCGTTACTAATCAAGAAAAACAATTTAATTCACATGTTCTCATTTTTTTTTGTCTTTTTACTCTTTTCTTATGAAAAACACATTCCCATTGGTAAGAACTCTCTTTAATGATTTGAAGAAGTCGTGGAAGGAGCAGGACCAGGGAATGATATAGGTTCAAAAAAAGCTTTTGGAAAAGATCCTCATAAACTTTGAAAATCATAATTACTGATTTTACTGTTTTTCATTATTCAAGACAAAGTTCATTCTTTTATTTTTTTCCTCTAATTTTCTAGGAGCTGTGCTAGTTAAATTGTTACTATCTTTCAAGTAGGGAAAATTAACCACAATAGAAACTTTAGACATTTTGAAAACAAACATCTGTACATTTTGCTTTCCCAGCTGCACCCACTTACTGGCCTTGTAACAATGAATGTAAACTATTAACATAACCTAGTTTGTAGACAGTGTTCATGGATTTCACTTTTCTGCTCAAATTCTTTAGTGATACCACATTATGCAGAAAACACAGGTCAAATTTCTAAATGTGTCCTACAAGCCTGTTTACAATCCTATCTTTACCTTTGTTTCCTGCTACATATAAACACTGAGAAGAATTTCAGTAAGTCTCTGTGCTGAACCTCAAGATTGCTTTGTCTGGAATGTTTCTTTTACCTTTATTTATTCAGCAATTTCCTTTCATCCTGCAAGCTTAATTTCAAGTTTCATTTTACTCATAGCGAATTCTTCTGTGATAGTCTTCCTATGCTATTTGATTTTCCCTGTAACCATAATTTAGTTTTTATGTCTTTTGCTTCCATGTCATAACCAAAGATAGTAACCATTGCTTTCATGTTTGTTTCTCCACTGAAACCTCCTTGAGGATGTATATGTTGTCTTTCTTTTGCACACACACAGTATAAAGCATATATGTGGGAGGGGAGTGGAGGTTGAAACTTGACATGAAATAAGCTTCAGTAAATATTTTGAATGAATTAATGAATGATGGGTAAATAATGTCAATTTTAACAGAGAAATCTCATCATGAGGACATGATAAAAAGTAATTAGAAATTTATTTAATGGTGTCTTTTTTTATAGGTGCTTAATATGTTTTAGAAACTGTTCTCTGTAGTTTTTATGCAGTATGCATTATTATTCCCCCATTTTTAGAGATGGTAAGAGATTTAGAGATGCTAAATAATTTGCTACAAGTCGTAGAAGTAGTTAACCTGGAAATCCAACTGCTGTCTGTGTGAATTTAAAAGTCATCATGCCTAGTACAATAAACTTTCTGTAGTAGTAAGAACTCAGTAAATATTTTTGAATGAGCACTTTTCTGTATTACATCAATTAATATAAGAACATGTCTAATATTTTATCATAAAACTACCTCTAGGCAGGAAATTTTTGCCTATACATAGATATTTGTTATGTGCATTCTACTTAGAAATTAAAACATTTTTACTCTAAAATATAAAGATTATGTGTTCTGTATTACCTCTATAGCTAACTTTGTCATATTTAGAAACACAGTTGTTCAAAATTACTATTTTAGATATTTTCCTCTTCTGACTTTAATCAGAACCAACATATCTGTCATTTTCTGATCAATAAATGAAAGAATGTGACCTTTAAAAAGGACATGTGTTTTTGTGCATTTAAATAGTTATATCTGACTTTTTAATAATTGAGGAGCCCTGTTGCTTTCTATTGCTGTCTTCTCTATTTTCTAAATAGAAATGAATGAAATCAAATTTTTAAAAACACATTTCAGATGCCTTGAAATAACTAATATTCTAGAAATGGAGAATAACTACTGCAGCTCAATATTTCTCAAATATATAAAATAATTGAGTAGTGTATTTAAATAATCTGTAGAAGAAAGTTTATGTTTCAGTTTAATATCTGGGCAGGGAGAACTGGTTGTTTTCTTCCTTAACTTCTGAAGGCATACTTATTCAAATATCTGCAAATTATCTTTACTTTTTTGATACTTTGGGAAACATAATTCTAAATAGCCTTAATCTATTATCTCTGCAGACTAAGGGTTGGATCCACAAATAATTACAAAACTTAAATTATCTAATATCAAAATCAACAAATTATTTTTGTTGACACTAGTAGCTATAAAATTGGAACTCAAGGTGAACACATTCATTGATTCTTAATGAATATTCACATTAACCTGAAATATTTAATATTAGTGCATTTAACAAATCTAAGTTGCAGAATTGAACCTACTAAAATCTAAATATTATTTTTTCGACAGGTCTTTCCTGACCATGCAATCTAAAGTAGAATCCTATGTTATTTTTTCTCAGTTTATGCTGATCATTTTTTCCTATTGTAATCATATTGATTTTTAATTTTGTATTTATTTATTTGTTTCCCATATGTCCTTTTGAGTAAATCATGGTTTGACCATATGCCATGGTCAACCTTTGGCATCTGAAGTGCCTAGCACAATATAAATGTTATTAAATGAACACAGATATAGTTTTATTTTCACAGTTTTGGATCATGGTGTGGTCCAAGAGGAATATCTATCTGGGGAGCAAGGGAATCTAGCTCTATGTTTGACATAGATTTACTCTTTAAGTGCTGCTTTTTTTCATCTATAACATGAAAAATGGGAGGAAGGAACTTGATAAAATAATAGTCAATGATCATTAATAGTCTTTAAGTGTTTTCTTATAGGGTGTTGTAAAGATTATGATTGCATCTTAGGCAATAATAACTCAACATTACATATTGATATTTTAATTATTTTTTATTTAAGTGGTACATGATCAGCATTGTACACATTTACAATCGATGGAGGAACAGTGAAATTCGGTGTTATGTTAATGGACAGCTGGTATCCTATGGTGATATGGCTTGGCATGTTAACACAAATGATGTAAGTTTTAAAAAAATTTTAAATCTGTGTTCTAATGAATTTGCGAGTATGGTCTATCACTATAACCTAAACTGAATAATGAAGTAGTCTGATAGAAATGTGAGTTTGACAGTTTACTCTTTAATAAGTAAATCTTTAAGTTTTAAATTTTATATAATAAAATGACTTCAAAGATATGGTTAATAATATTTAAAAAAGAAAAATAGTGCTGAAATGAGATTAGCAGTTACTGGGTCAGAGTATGCAAGGCCACATAAGTCAACCTAAGGCTTGTGGTTTCCCAGTGTAAAAATACTTAGAAGGTTTTGAGCAGACAAATAATGTCTGCTTGTATTTTTAAAATATCAGCCTGGCTGCAATATTGAGAATACCCTGAAGGAAAGGAAAGTGATCACTTTGATGACTTCTTGCAATAACAAAAAAGGTATTCCTTTCAACAAGTAGTGCTCAAGGAGGCACTAGTTGGATTCTAGATAGAGGAGATCTAGAGGTGAAGATCTCAGAGATGCTACTGTTTCTCTAGTTTTGGTTCTTCCTTGATTCATCCTGCCTATAGAGTGTGTAAAGATGTGTTTTAATGTCCATAGCATCTCCAAGGCCAATGGTACATAACCCTTCCAGCATTCCTAATTTTAAATGACTTGAGTTTTTAAAACAAAATTTACTTCAAGATTCTGACTGCACTCCTGAAGGGGAGATTATCTTCTTTGTATTCTCATTCTCCCTGTGTCTCTCTGTGTCTCTCTGCCTTTCTCTCTCTCTCTGTCTCTTTCTCTCTCTCTCTGGGGGTACTAGGGATTGAACTCTGGGCCTTGCATTTGCTAAGCAACCACTGTACCATTTAAGTCACCCTGAATCATTTTATTTTTACTTTGTTTTTCAGATAGGGTCCCTGGCTTTTGCCCCAGCTGATCTCAACTACTAACCTCTTACCTTGGCCTCTTCAGTAGGGGACTGTAGGCATGTACCACCATGTCTAGCCTTGAAATATCTCAAATGGCTTTGGATACAAATCCATAGTTTGCTCCCTAGATCAGGATGTGAAAGGCAATATATTCTGGGCCAAGTGTGACTCTCATTGCTTTCTGTGTAGCTGGGATTATAGATGTGTACCACTGTGCCCACTGTTTGTGGAAATAGGGTCTCACTAACTTTTTTGCCGGTGCTGGCCCAGAACCTTGATTCTCCCATCTCTGCCTCTTACGTAATTGTAATTACGTGCATATGCTACCTTGTTCAACATGTTTTTGTATGCCTGAGACATAAGAATCCTGGTTTTTTAGGGTCTGGGGTTTGAACTCAGGGCTTTGCACTTGCAAAGCAGGTACTCTACTATGTGAGTCACATCTCTAGTCCAATTTGCTTTGTCAACTATTTGCCTGGACTGGCTTTGAACTGTGATTCTCCCTATCTCAACCTCTTAAGTAGCTAGAATTGCAGGTGTGAGCCACTGGTGCCAGCTTACATTAAAATATATATATTTTTAAAGACATAAACAAATAACTATAACAGCAACAACAACAACAACAAATCAAAGAGAAGTATGCAACAGAAACTACATGTGGTTTGCAAAGCTTAAAATATTTTCTATCTAAACCTTTACAGGAAAAGTTTATCTGCTCTGCAAACTCATGGTTGAGTCATAGTCAATAAATATATGAGGCAAGAGTTTTGTCAGAATTAGAACACACATTTGAAATTGTGCTTCCTATTTTTTTCCTAGGGGGAGAATCTTTTTATTACAGAATGAAAGAAACCCCACTGATTTTGTTGATGACTGTTATTAGGTGGCAAGACAGTACTTTTTTTTTTTTTAAAGACAGATTTTTGAAGTATTTGTGATAGTATTTCAAAAAACGTAGAAGCCTGGGCAATAATATATACACATATACTTTGTGTAGCAGCATCTTTTTGTTTCAATAGTTCTAATTACAGAGTGTATATTTAATAAGGAGCTCTTGTCTTTGTACTCCATTTACAGTTTTTTTTTTTTTTGCTACTTCATGAGCACCAAAGGGATTCCATATGTTGATCCACCCATCCATCTATCTTATTTGTTTTTTTTTTTTTTGCTACTTCATGAGCACCAAAGGGATTCCATATGTTGATCCACCCATCCATCTATCTTATTTATCTATCATAAGCTGGTATGCTTGTTACAGTATCCTCTCATGAGGGAGCAAACTGAACAGTGACTGCTTTTGTTGATTTGGATGGGTGGGGTTTAAAAGGTATAGGGAGGGTCTCCCTAAGTATAACTTCTTAGTTGCTTAATCTTCCAGATAAGGAGCATTGTGTTGTTGGCTTCAGGCAGCAGATTTAGGGATCATTGTTTATTTGATAATGCTTACTTACATAAAAGGAGGACCTTACTCTCTTTCTGTCCTTCATTTAGCTTAGAAAAATACAGGAATGTATCCATGATGGATAAACGAAGTAGAATTTAAAAAATTAGGCACTATGAGTTTATAGTTAAAATTTATTTAGAGTAGACATTTTTTTGATTTTCATGATTCTCAAATATGAGCAATTGTGAATCATTAATGTTTTAAAATTAGTTTTGCTTTTGTAAATAATTTTAAGCACTTTGCCTTTAATAGTAAAATTTGGAAAGTGGTTAAGTCTGATAGAATAGGAGGTTATTTGTTTGCTAACTTTACATGTAAATCATTTAGCTGATTTTATTTTCTCAAAGTATTTTATTGGCTTTTATTATTTAAATACTCCATGGAGTCTTAATTGATGCCATCTTCTATTATTGCTATGTTTTAAACTATAATAATTATTCATAATAATAAAGACAGGTATTCTTCAGAGTCTGTCATTGCAAAATAATATATTACAAAGTAATAATTTATTTTTTGTGATTTTTAAAAAATAGAGCTATGACAAATGCTTTCTTGGATCTTCGGAAACTGCTGATGCAAACAGGGTTTTCTGTGGACAGCTTGGTGCTGTGTATGTTTTCAGTGAAGCCCTCAACCCAGCACAGATATTTGCAATTCATCAATTAGGACCTGGATATAAGGTAGGAGTGCCTATTTGTTATAAATTCCGTGCAAAGTTTTAGTTGTGATTGTGGTGTAACATGATATTTAGTGGAAAATCTTCAATATGATTTAAAAGTTATCTGTATTTTTGAAACTCTGTTATTGTTATGTTCATTTTTATTTAAAAGATGTTTTTCTCTTTTTAGCTATTTTTTCCTTCATGAATTTTTTTATTCCTCAGACTATTTTCTAATGTTGAAGACATGCCTTTTTAAAATCCATTCTTAAAAAAAAAAATGCAAGCTTCTATTCCCAGCACTGGGGAGGATGAGGCAGGAGGATCATGAGTTCAAGGTTAACATGAGCTACATTGTGAGTTCGAGGCCACCCTGGGCTACATACAGAAACCCTGTCTCAAAAAACAAAACAAAACAAAAACTTGCATTGCTAAATCTCTATATTACAAAAGGATAACTTGTTCAATTAGAGGTAGCTTGGCAAAAATAGTTGAAGACTTACAAAATAGTATAGGATGTTATGTATAACTGAAATTATTTACTTTTAGCATCTGCTTTTATCTTTTACAGAGAGTTAGGTAATGGTTAAGAGTATTAAGTATCCTCATTTCACAAAACCTATTGTTTAATAAGGTTTATAATATTCTTCCTGCTTTCTGTTTAACTTTCAAAATAAAGGCATTTAGGAAGAAACAGCATTTGCATCTGTAAATTAATTTATTTTTATTTAATTTGTTTTTGAATTAGCATATATTAATAAATCAAGGGGATTTCATTGTGATAGTTTCATACAGTGTAGTGTGAATAAGATCATCCCCTCCATTAATATTTTTACTCCTTTTCTCCTGCCCTCTTTTTCAGATATTGTTTGGTGGGTTTCATTATTCCATCTTCATGTGTTGTATAAAGTATACTTTTATCGTATTCATCCCTCAGTATCCTTTCCTTCCCCTACTGCTTTAATCCCTTCTAGACTGTCCCTCATTTAGATTCATGTCCTATGATTATTGTTATTATTACCCTCATCATTGTTGTTGTCATTGTTGCCCATCTTTGTTGTAGTCATCTTTATCATTTTAGGGCCAGGTTCCACAAATGAGTGAGAACATGTAATATTTGGGCCTTTTTTGTTGTTGTTGTTAAGTATGCATTTGTTATGGGGAGGGATTCATAAAGATAATTCCAATTAGACTTATAGTGTACATTAGTTACATCACCCCCCATCGTGAGCTTGTCTTACCTCACGTAGCATGATGATCTCCAATTCTGACCATTTTCCTGCAAATCTCATATTTCATTTTCCTTATGGATGTGTGATTTTCCATATATATATATATATATATATATATATATATGTATTATATGCATATACACACACATATATATATATGTATATGCATATACACATATATATATATATATATGCATATACACTCACACATACTATATTTTATTTATCATTGGCATCACTTGTTATGCACTTTGACTGTTTCCACAGTTTGACTATTGTGAAGAGAGTTGCAATAAACATGAGTATGCAGGTATCTCTCTTGTATATTGATTTGCACTCCTTTGGATATATGCCCATGGGTGCTATGGTGGGGCTCTTAAGGTAAGTCTATTTTTAGTTTTTTAAGGAGCCTCCATACTGATTTCTATAGTGATTATGCTAGTTTATGTTCCCGCCAACAGTGTATGAGGGTTCCTTTTCTTCATATCTTTGCCAGCATTTGTTGTAGTTTCTTTTATCAATGATTATGAATCTGGGATGAGATGGAATCTTGTGTAGTTTTGATTTGCATTTCCTTTATGGCTAACGATGTTGACCACTACGTCATGTATATATTAGCCATTTGTATTTCTTCTTCGAAGAACTGTTTCCAATTTGCTTGCCTACTTATTTATTGGATGTTTTATTCTTTTGCAGCTTAGTTTTTTGAGCTTTTGGTATATTCTGTATATTAATCCCTTATCCATTGAATAGCTGGTGAAGATTTTTTCTAATTCTGTTGGATGTCTCTTGATTTGGTAATTATTTCTTTTGATGTGCAGAAACTGTTAAATATGATGCAATCCCCCTTGTCAAGTCTTGCTTTCTTTGGCAATTGCAGTCCTATTCAGAAATAATTACTTATAGCTAACAGAGATTTCCCTACTTTTTACTCTAGTACTTGAAAAGTTTCAGGTCCTTGCGTTATGTTCTTTGATCCATTTTGAAATGTTTTTTTTTTTGTATAGGATGCTGGTTTCAGGCTTCTGCATGTTACATAACCACTTTTCCCAGCATTGGTTGTTGTAGAGGCTGTTTTCTCCATTGTATGCTTTTGGCTCCTTTGTCAAAGATCACAAGACTATAGTTTTGTGATTATATTTCTGGGTCTTCTGTTCTGTTTCATTGTTCTTTGTGCCTGTTTTTGTGCCAATACCATGCTGTTTATTTTGTTTTTGTTTTTTTCCTGTGGCTGTATGGTTTAATTTGAAGTCTGGTATTGTGATACTTCCAGTGTTAACCTTTCTGCTCAGGATCACTTTTGCCCTTTGGGATCTTTTAGGGCTCCTTGTGAATTTTTGGGTTGACTTTTCTATATCTACAAAGAATGATTTTGGGATTTTGATGGGCATTGCATTGAATCTGTAGATTGATTTCAGTAATATAACCATTATTGTGGTATTAATTCTGCCAATCCATGAATGTCTTTTCATCTTCTGGTATCTTCTTCAGTTTCTTTCTTAAAATTTTTATATTTTTCATCATAGAAGCCTTTCACCTCCTTGGTTAGGTTTATACCCAGGTATTTTATTATTTTTGGTATTTTATCATTATTGTGAGTGATATTTGCCTGCTTTCTTTCTCAGCCTTTTCATTGTTGGTGTATAGAAAAGCTGCTGATTTTTTTATGTTGACTTTGTATCCTTCTACATTGCCAAAATTGTTTGTTAGATCTAGGAGTTTTTTGGTGGAATCTTTGGGTTGTTTTAAGTATAGAATCATATCATCTGAAAATAGAGATAATTTGACTTCCTCCTTGTCTATTTGAATCCCCTTTATTTCTTTCTCTTGCCTTACTGCCCTTTATTATATTATTTCCTATTGATGTATTATTCTTCCTTTCATTAGTATAAAGTGACCTATTTTGTCTCTTCTGATGAATTTAGGATTGAAGTCTATTTGACCTGACATAAGTATAGTTACTTCTGCCTGTTTTTGGAGGCCATTTGCTTGGAAAATCTTTTTGAACCCTTTCACCCTAAGCCAGTGTTTGTTTCTGTCTGTGAGATGGGTTTCTTGTAAACAACAAATCCTTTGGTTTTCCTTTTTAATCAAGCTTGCTGATCTTTGTCCTTTGATGAGGGAGTTCAGACCATTAACATTCAGTCTTAATATTGAAAGGTATGTGATAATTCCTGCCACTTTGTTGTTTTTGGTGTGCATGTGTGTGTGTGTATATGGAAAGGTATGTGATAATTCCTGCCACTTTGTTGTTTTTGGTGTGCATGTGTGTGTGTGCACAGTTGCTTATCTACTCATCTCCTAACACTTAATTATTGCCATCTCTTTCGTGACTATGTTTATTTTTATCTTCCTTGTCCAGTATTCCTTTGAGTGAGTATCTTTTGGGGTGCTGGTGTAGTAGTCATGTATTTGTTTAGTTTATATTTAGCATGAAAGTTTTTTATTTCTTCTTCAATTATGAATGAAAGCTTTGCTGGGTATTCTCAGTTTGAAATTGTTTTCTTTCAATGATTGAAATACCTCATTCCATGCCCTCCTTGCTTTTAAGCTTCCTGTTGAGAACTATGCTGGTATTTTTGATGGGCTTACCTTTATAGGTTATGTGCATTTCTCCCTTATAGCCATCAGTATTCCTTCCTTGTTGTCTGTGCTTATTGTTTTAACTGTAATATTCCATGGTGGTTCTATGTTGGTCATGTCTGTTTGGTGTCCTGTACCTGAATGGGGATCTCTTGAGATTTGGGAAGTTTTCTCCTATTATTTTGTTGGATACGATTCCTATGCCTTTAGCTTGTACTTCTTTTTCTTTTTTTAATGCCCATGATTCATAGGTTTGGTCTTTTAATGGAGTTGCAGAGTTCTTGCTTATTTCTTTCACAAGTCTTTAGTTTTTTTTTCTTTATATATACTTCTCTATTTACCATTGTATCTTTTTTGTCTTCAAGTTCTGTAATTCTGTCTTGTACTTGTTCCAGTATGCTGGAGTGGCTATCAGCTGTGTTTTTTTTTTTGATTTAAGGAGCTTTTTAATTTCCAGGGTTTCTATTTGGTTTTCTTTTCTTTCTGTTTTTTTTTTTTTTGAGATCTTCTGTATCTTTATAAAGTTCTGCTTTCACATTTCATTTATCATTTTTTTATCTTCCTTGATTTCATTTCAATGTTTGTATCCTTTTTAAGTTCATTTAGTTTCTGTGCCTTCTCTAGCTTTTGATCTGTATTCTCTTGGAATTCACTGACTTGCTTTTATATTTCTTCTTTAATGTCCTTAAACATTCTCACTGTCATTTGTTTGAATTCAGAAACTGAGGTTTCAGCCCACTAAATCCTCTGTTGTATGATTGTTCACCTTTTGATAAGTCATATCCCCCTGCCTTCTATTTCTCGGGTTTTATTTTGAGATTTTCTTATATATTGTCAGTTAGTTGGTTGGGAGTTTTAATCACCTGAAATCTTTCCCTTGATTTAATTTCTATGTTTTGGCCACATTGCTTGTTGGATAGTTCATTATATCATTTTTGTTCACTGGCCTGGGGGGTGGTGTAACTTAGCAATAACAAATTCCTGGGTTAAATGCCAGTTATTTACATGAAATATAAAGCCCTTGGCAGTATTACCTGTAAACAGAGGAGTGTTGGGTAAATAAAAGTTGCTTGCATAGAGATTAATACTTAGGTAGTTAAAATCATGGGAGTAAAGAGGAGATCAGGAAGAACAGGAATAGGGAGGAGAGAGAAGAGGTATGAGGTGTGGGGGCTATAGGGTAATAACACTAATGTGTGTAAAGGTA